TGTATCTGGTGGTATATTGTTGTATATCTGGTAGTATATTGTTGTGTATCTGGTGGTATATTGTTGTATATCTGGTAGTATATTGTTGTGTATCTGGTGGTATATTGTTGTGTATCTGGTGGTGTATTGTTTGGTATCTGGTGGTATATTGTTGTGTATCTGGTGGTATATTGTGTATTTGGATGAAATGTGTGTATCTGGTGGTATTTTGTGTATTTGGATGAAATGTGTGTATCTGGTAGTATGTTGTTGTGTATTTAGATGAAATGTGTGTACCTGGTGGTATATTGTTGGGTATCTGGTGGTATATTGTTGTGTATCTGGTGGTATATTGTGTATCTGGTGGTATATTGTTTTGTATCTGGTGGTATATTGTTGGGTATTTGGTAGTGTATTGTTGGGTATTTGGTGGTGTATTTTTGGGTATCTGATAGTGTATTGTTGGGTATCTGGTAGTGTATTGTTGAGTATCTGGTGGTATGTTGTTGTGTATCTGGTGGTATATTGTTTTGTATCTATTGGTATATTGTTGTGTATCTGGTGGTATATTGTTGGGTATCTGGTAGTGTATTGTTGGGTATCTGGTGGTATATTGTGTATTTGGATGAAATGTGTGTATCTGGTAGTATGTTGTTGTGTATCTGGTGGTATATTGTTGTGTGTCTGGTGGTATATTGTTGAGCATCTGGTGATATATTGTTGGGTATCTGGTGGTATATTGTTGTGTATCTGGTGGTATATTGTTGTAGTATATGTGGATTAATATCTACATATGTAGCAGTAGATAGACATTTTCAAGGTGTATTATATTACATTGGAAAATCATATATTAGGCAGCTTTTGTCACATTCTTTACCTTTATTTACCTGTAGGTTAAGTAAGACAAGTACATTGTGTAGCTTTAGAATGTTTTTTTCAGGTTCATATTTCATGGTTTGGAAATAACATTTTGAACTTTTAGTGCAATCTCACCCACCACAGATAGATTAAACTTATTTTATTGACTAAAATGAGGTTTGTAGATAGTGCTCAAACTTATACAGAATTTGAATTTATTCCATTTTGTAACATAAAAATATGTGAATATTGTCCAAAATTGTTTTAAAGCTCAGTCTGAAAACACCGTCAGTTACAGGTTAGGATATAGACTGGAGACATCTTATTATACAAGTCAAATTTTGTTTGTGAAATAGACAAGCATTGGTTTAAAATTAAATGATAAAGGAGATTAATAAACAAAGACAAGATACTTGTCTGTCAGCTGAAAAGATTCATTATTTAAACTTTGAAACATAAAATCAACATTTACAGTAGATGTATGTATGTTAGAGAGAAAGCCTTTTCAATAAAATGTAAAATTATGCAGACACTAAACTAATCCAGAATGAACTCATGAAATAAACTGTTTATTAAATATATTGTTACGACAGCGGAAGTCATGTGACACTGGGAGCATGCGCACTGGAGTTTCTAGAATTATCGAGGAACCTCACGAATGTCCGAGTGTTTGCTAGGTGCCCTCTTTTTTAGTATATAAGCCTGGCGAGAAAAACCAGCGCAATTGCAGAGATAGACAGAGTTAAGAGATAGATAATTGAGTCAAGCAAACAGTAGGAACCGTAAATAAAGTGTGTGAATCACTGTTATTTATAGCGTGTGTTATAAAGGTTGTTAAGTTTAGAGTGACTGAGGAAATTTAGTGTACTAAAAAGTTTGTATCGAGAAAGAATAAACTAGTTTTAGTCAAGAAGGGACTTGCATTGCTGAAGTTTCTTGGAAAGAAATTATACCGGAAATTAACAAACAAGCAGATACGTAACAATATAATAATGAATATGAATGATTGGCACTTGTTATTATGTATAATTTAATAAATAACTTATTTGATATTTACACAATTTTAAAACCTTTACTGAAGCTGTCAAGGGCTAACCCTTTGAAAGCATGCTGTACATGTACATTGTTTGAATGTCCTCTATGTCACAGTAATGCACATGTATAGTGTGCTTTTAGAGGGTTAGCCCTTGATGATTTTAATAAAGTTTTTAAAATAGTGTAAATATGAAATAAAGTATTTATTAAATTATAAAATAATTAATTGATAGAATGAAACAAATTGAAGTCAATAGTTTTTATTTTATTTCTGTAATGTAAACAACATCCATGTATGGAATCTGGTCATCACAGGAACAGCAAAGTTAGGAACTTGTAATTTGATTAAGTTACTTAATGTATCTTTGCAAATTATGGATCTTTAATCAGGAAATTGAGCTTACACATATCACAGGGGGTAAGGGAGGGTCTGACTAGAAATGCTAGAATGATGTTCATTCTGTGATGAGAAGACTTGGAGTTTTTTATTTCAAGGTTGTGATTTTTTTTTAATATTGAGTTATTTAGTGGAAGTATCACAACCTTTATGATGAGGCCATTTTTTTTTGTAAAAATTTGAAGTATATATGTAGTTTTCAAAAAAGACAATCTATACTATTTTGTGGTTGTTCCCTGGTGACTCAACAGTACCTTTACAGACCTAAAATTTGGTGTTTTATTCCCTTTGTTGGACAGAGTACAGACAACCCATATGTACTAAAACAAAAACTTCATACTTATTTAGGTACTTGCCTTAATATTATATAACTAATTTATATCAAATGTTAATGTTGTTGCAAATGATTTTACATTTCTACTTGATTATGATATTTCTGGAACAAATTTATCAGAGAATTTCTTACATTTTCAAATACTTTTGTTTGAAATGAAGAGTTCACTCTGTGAATTTAAAGATGTTATTTTATTCATTGTAAATTACAATTTGTTTTATGAGCTTTGTTTAATCTTGACATTGTTAAGTATCAATGTAAAAACCTATAAATGTTAGGAAAATTTAAACAGAGAATTTTCATCTGGGACATTAACCAGTTTTCATGCTGTCTTTTGAACTTTCCTCACTTTAAGTAGAATCCAAGAAATTAGAATTATGAAATATGCTGTAACTATGGTGTCTACCCTATAGACAAAGTACAAAACCTAAAACTTACAAAAATAATACACAAATATTCCCTTCACAAATATAATACACAAATATTCCCTTCACAAAACATAATACACAAATATTCCCTTCACAAATCTAATACACAAATATTCCCTTCACAAATCTAATACACAAATATTCCCTTCACAAACCTCTTCTTTTTCTTCTTAGTTCCTGTCGTTCCTAGTGGAACATAGGTCTACAACAACACTTCGCCGATGGAAGTGTTGTTGCAGTTTCTGTAGCAGATTGTTATCGGGGTGGAGTTGCTAGCCCCACGCCCAAGTGGGCATGTTTGGTGCGACAAGGACGCGAACCCGCGACCCTCGGATTGCGAGTCGAGTGACTTATCCACCGGGCCATGCCGGGCCCCTTCACAAACCTAATACACTGATATTTCCTTCACAAACATGATACACTAAAATTCCCTTCACTAACATAATACACTAATATTCCCTTCACAAACCTAATACACAAATATTCCCTTCACAAACATGATACACTAATATTCCCTTCACAAACATAATACACAAATATTCCCTTCACAAATATGATACACTAAAATTCCCTTCACAAACATGATACACTAAAATTCCCTTCACAAACATAATACACAAATATTTCCTTCACAAACATAATACACAAATATTCCCTTCACAAACATGATACACTAATATTACCTTCACAAACATGATACACTAAAATTCCCTTCACAAACATGATACACTAAAATTCTCTTCACAAACCTAATACACAAATATTCCCTTCACAAACATAATGCAATAATATTCCCCTCACAAACATAATACACAAATATTCCCTTCACAAACATGATACACTAAAATTCCCTTCACAAACATGATACACAAATATTCCTTTCACAAACATGATACACTAATATTCCCTTCACAAATATAATACACAAATATTCCCTTCACAAACATAATACACTAATATTCCCTTCACAAACATGATACACTAAAATTCCCTTCACAAACATAATGCAATAATATTCCCTTCACAAACATAATACACAAATATTAACTTCACAAACATAATACACAAATATTTCCTTCACAAACATGATACACTAAAATTCCCTTCACAAACATAATGCAATAATATTCCCTTCACAAACATAATACACTAATATTCCCTTCACAAACATGATACAATAATATTCCCTTCCTAACTTATAATTTATTATCCCAAATAGTTGAACTAGATGTATCAATATTTTCAAGCTAAACACTTATTGTTGAAGTGCTCTAACTGTAGCTATGACATATCATTACAGTATGTATTGTACATTACATAACAATGAACATGGTAGAGATTCCATTTTAAAGACTTTCATAATAATATCTTGTATCATATGCTGGGAAAATGCCATAACAAGTGTTCTTAAAATTTTTAGCCAGAGCAATTAGACTTAAGTGGAAGAATGCAGCATACCGAGCTCTACGCATGGCAGATCCTTGGAAGGAGTTTCATCTGGAGAAGTTGGAAGTCGAAACTGCTACTCGCTACCGCTACAGTGCCCTTCGTAAAGATTGGGTTGTGGATGAAGTTACTATCAAAATGGCTAAAGAGGTAGTGATTTAAAAGATAAAGAAGTTGAAGTTTATATGTATACATATGATCTTGATTAGGTGTATCAAGTTACAGGATACTTGCTGGGACACTGAGACTGTAATAATACAGTAAGGTATCACATGTATTACAAGAGTACTGGACACTTGGTAGGATCAACACTGAGACTGTAATAATACAGTAAGGTATTATATGTTACAAGTGTACTGGATTAAGGTATTAAATGATCTCACTGGTACCCTTAAGTTTGTTTTTGTGAAAAATAAATGTTAGATGACCAGTCATATCTAAAGAAGTGTTCTGTAACCTGTCATATCTAAAGAATTGTTAGATGACCAGTCATATTTAAAGAAGTGTTAGATGACCAGTGATATCTAAATAAGTGTTAGAAGACCAGTCATATCTAAATAAGTGTTAGATGATCAGTCATACTTTTTGACATGCAATTGTCTACTGTTAAAGTCCATGCCCACAAATGTTCATTTTGATACCACAGACATTGTTTCTCAATAAATGAAAGTCAAACATACTGTGGTGTGCTTAAATCAAATGAACCAATGAGCTTCTGGGATAATGGTGGACACTCCTATATCACAGCTGTTGGTGGGTTCTTTGCTTTATACCCTCTTCTTCTGGAAAGTTGCTAACCAGTTGAACTTGGTTAGGATTGACCCATTAAGAAAGTCACTGGTCAACTGCAGCTGTATAAGACAACATCAACAGTTAAAAGGTTTTGGCCTTATTTTATAGTTGTATAGGTTTCTCATAAATATCCAATTGCTTTATTTTCTTTCTTTCTCTTTGAAATTCAGAAATAGCACATTTTCTTATATTGTTTTTGTCTAACAAAATTGGTTAAATAAATGTAGGTTGTTTTTGTTTTCTTTTGCAACCCACGAGATAAGAAATTACATTGAAATAGTTTCTGTTCTTAATATTTGATTACACAAGTTTTTAATGAATAAAATTATCTTCTAAGATATCTAAATTTTTAATTATTATTTCATAATTTGTTTAATGGTAGAAAGTAAAATCTAAAAGCAGTTTTAACTCTCAGAATTGTGTAATGATAGAGTTGAACCTTATTGGTAGATTTTCATGAGAACTAAGGTTTGTTTCTAACAACAAACTGACAATGTTTACTCTGTATACTTACTTATCAGGCTCAATGTTTGTGTTTGGATGCTTGTGTAAGTTTTCTTTTACTTTACATTACACTCTGGCTAACTCGTGTATATTTACTTATCAGGCAAAATGTTTGTGTTTTGGTGCTTGTGTAAGTTTCTTTTTCTCTACATTAAACTCTGGCTAACTCCACAAACTGATTTAAAAAATATATACAATTTTACTGTTCAGAATATTTACTTCTATGCGAAAAAGAGTTTTGTTACCAAAATAAAAACAAAAATTTAATATTGTTATGACAGCGGAGGTCACGTGACGCTAGTAACATGTCATGCGCTTCTAGAAAATTCATGTCCCTTCTTGAAGCCTTGAGTGGTTACGAGATGTATGCTTTTTGTATATATAAGACCGGTAAGAAGTGACGGCAACAATGTAATTGAATTGCAGACAGAGATAGATACGGACAGTTGGGTCGAGCTCGTGAGTCGTTCGTTGTGAATTATAGCGTTTGTTATAGCGTGACTGTGGAAATTAAGTGTATTGCAAAGTTGTATTCAGAAAGAATAAACTAGTTTTATCTAAGAAAGGACTTGTATCGCTAAAGTTTCCTCTGAAAGAATTTTTACGGAAAATTAACAAACTAACGACCAGAGATGTAACAAATTGGTGTCAGAAGTGGTATATAAAAAAAAAACAGAAGATGGAAACGAGAAGCGGCAAATCAAACTACAGCTTAGCAGATTTGATGGCAACAATACAAGAACAAGAAAAGAAACAAGAAGAGAGACAACAGCAATTGCAAGAAAACCTGCAACAGTGGCAGCTCGAACACCAAAATAAACAAGAAAGGAAACAAGAAGAACAAGAAAAGAAACAAGAAGAGAGATTACACCAGTTGTAGGAGGAAAAAAGAAAAGAAACAAGAAGAGAAATTACAACAGTGGTTGGAGGAAAAAGAAAAGAAACAAAAAGAACGAGAAAATAAACAAGAAGAGAGATTACAGCAGTTGTTGGAGGAAAAAGAAAAGAAACAAAAAGAACGAGAAAATAAACAAGAAGAGAAATTACAGCAGTGGTTGGAGGAAAAAGAAAAGAAACAAAAAGAACGAGAAAATAAACAAGAAGAGAAATTACAGCAGTGGTTGGAGGAAAAAGAAAAGAAACAAAAAGAACGAGAAAA